CAGTATCAGCTCTAGATCCCAGCTGGGAACTGCAGAAACGTGCAGAAGACCAGGAAAACTGCAAGAAATACTGCTGCTCCAGGCAGCTGGTGGGTGCGGTTTGTATCTCCTTAGAAGCAGCTGCCACAGCAGGCATACTTGTTTCCAAAACTGCAGCCTGCTTCTGGCATCTCCTCAGTAATTCCTGTAACAGGTCTGTTACCCAAGAGAGATGAACTGATAACAGACCAGCCAGAAAAGCAAGTGCCACAGCCCGCTGGAGGCTTTGGCTCCAAAAACATAACAACATAGTTTCACATGCACGGCAGAGCTGTGATCGTAGCACATCCTTGACGTTCACATGCATTTTCTCCCGGGGTGAGTTTAGGTCTGAGCGTCAAAGCGCCTTCCACAAAACTAGTCCAGCATTGACAGAAAGGATGTAACATGACTGAGGACACATGAAGTGACCAACATCTGTATCTAACCTGGTTATTACCCTGCACTTGGCCCCAGCCTGTCACACAAGAGCGGAGCATCCAGCCCTTACAGCAAGCTGTTACATCACCTAACTGTAATTAAGTCCTGTCCGCATGCAGGCTGGTCTATGCCAAAGTGCAGTCAGGAGCTTCGGCAGAGTATTGGAGCAGCTACAGGTTGAATCAGACACAGGGGATTTCACTGCTGGTTTATTTAACCCTGCAGCTACAGGTTGAATCAGACACAGGGGATTGCACTGCTGGTTTATTTAACCGTAACCTAAGCAACCAGCTTGCCTGAAGAGAAAACTGTACATATCTGGTGGGCATCAACTGCGTCCAGTGACAGCACCACCGAGAGGCCAGGTGACGTGCTAGTAACAAAGCAGCAGTAGGATATGGTGGATGCGAAAGGCACCCCAGGGACAGGCCCGTGGTGCCCTGCCCTAAGCTGCCCTCTCTGCCCCAGCAGGATGCTCACACCCAGCTCTCCCTCCCCAGGAAAGCCAACCTGCCCCCCAGAAACAGGATGGTTTCTTGGCAATCCAAGCTAAGGGCTGTTGGCAGCGGCCCAGAGCCTGGCAGCCTTGCTGGTGCCACTGCTTGATATCATCCAAAAGCAGCAGCAGCAGCAGCAGCAGCACTGGGGCGTGCCGCTGGCATCGCGACCTCACCCACCGCTCTCTGCGCTGCGGGGACCCCCACCCCGGGGAGCCCCAGGGTCCACATGGACACCCCCAGCACCCCAGTGCCCACCCACCGCAGGACACCCCCCAAACAATGCCGCAATGCCTCCTCATGACAGAGACCCCCTCCCCAGTGCCCCATCAAGGAAGGACCTCCCGCCACAACACCCCAGTACTCCTACAGGGGATTCCCCCCCCCCCAAAC